TGCAATTTCTGACAACAAGGCCAAGATGGCAGAGTTGACTAAGCTGAAGGCCGCGCAGGAGGCGGCAGAGGCCGAGTGCGATACACTAATCAGAAATTGGCCCGGGCTTAAGAAGACAAACAGAGGGCCGTTCAGCTGACAAAGGCTCGCTACCTCGCCGAGCTGCAAAAGCTTCGGGATGCCTACAAAGCCGAGAGGGACAAGACGGTAGACGATGCTGAAGACCGCGGGTATGCAGAGGGTGCAAGGACTTATGAGCTGCAAGTTCAAGCGACCAAGGACATCTTTTTCCAGTGCGGTTGAAAAGCTGCTGTGGAAAAAGTTAGCCTTGGTCAAGACGCCGAGATGTTCCAAAACCCGCCTGCTGCCTACATCCCGGCCTATATGTAGGGCTTGGCCCCACTTTTGTAACCTAACTTGCTTTATCAATGAAAATTCTACTTTTCGCCCGTAATATGCAAATTTTCTTCGATTTCAAATGTAGACGCCAACTTTTAGCTCGGCTACAAAGTTTGCGGGTGAGCAAAATCAGCTTGGCCCTTACATGAATTGGGCAAAACACTGACCTATTCGTTGGGCGAGCAAAATCAGCTCGGCCAGTTGGAAGTTTGGCAAAACGCCAACATTTCACGCGGCGAGCAAAGTTAGCTCGTTTCATTTGGGTGAGCAAAATCAGCTCGGCCATTACAAGTTGGTTAGAATGCCAACTTTTTACACGGACGAGCAAAGTTAGCTTGGCCCTGAAAGAAAATGGACAAAGTGCCAACATTTTATTTGGGCGAGCAAAATCAGCTCGGTCCTTACAAGTTGGTCAGAATGCCAACTTTTTACACGGGCGAGCAAAGTTAGCTCGGCCCTTAAGGAAGTTGGACAAAGCGCCAACATTTCGTTTGGGCGAGCAAAATCAGCTCGGCCCTTATAGGTTGGTCAAAGCACCAACTTTTTACATAGGCGAGCAAAGTCAGCTCGGCCCTTAAGGAAGTTGGACAAGGGCCAACATTTCGTTTGGGCAAGCAAAATCAGCTCGGCCCTTATAGGTTGGTCAAAGCCCCAACTTTTTACACGGGCAAGCAAAGTCAGCCCGGCCCTTAAGGAAGTTGGACAAGCGCCAACATTTCATTGTAGACGAGCAAAAATCAGCTCGGCCTTCATGCAATTTGGACAGAATACCAACTGTTTGTATGGCCTGTCTCTACACCGGGGAGAAAAAGTCAGTTTGGCTCAGTGTAAGTTGGCTTAGTGTAAGTTGGTTTTCTTGCCCCTAGTGTCTTCAGTGGCCCAATATCTCTGTGATGTCATTATGCAGAAACTCATAATATAAAAAAAAGTGGGGCTATCTCTCATTATATACCAACGATTTACATCAAATGCCAAAAGGCTAAAGATTCAAAAGGCTAAGTAACAAAAACGATTACATTTCAAAAGTAAAAAATCCTAAAATTAGCTGCATTCCATGGTCTGGGGATAGCTTTTCCATCTAAGTCTTCCAAATGGTATGCCCCTTTGCCTGCCAGGCCAGTCACCTTATATGGCCCCTCCTAATTCGCACTAAGTTTCCCTTTGCCAGGGACTACCGTGTTGCACATCACCTTTCTTAAGATCCAGTCCCCAACCTTGAACAGCCTCGGATGCACGGCCTTGTTGTATTTCCTGGAGAGCTCTTGCTGATAGGCTGCTATATGGATCAAAGCCTGTTCCCTTCTTTCTTCAGCTAGGTCAAGTTCCAATGCCACTGCTTCATTGTTCAAGTCTGGCTCAAAACTTTCAGACCGGATGGTAGGCATACCAATTTCCAGTGGGATGACGGTCTCCATGCCATAGGCTAAGGCGAACGATATTTTCCCGGTAGAGCGTCTGGGCGTGGTACGGTATGCCCAGAGCACGTTGGGGAGTTCTTCAGCCCACTTCCCTTTGGCTTTTTCTAGCCGTTTCTTCAGCCTATCCAGGATGGTCTTGTTTGAGTCTTCTGCTTGACCATTTGACTGAAGGTAGGCCAATGTGGAGTTGTAGAACTCAATCTTTAACTCCTCGCAAAATCCGCGAAAAAGTTTACCATCAAATTGGGTGCCATTATCTGAGATGAGGGCCCTTAGTATACTAAAGCAAGTGACAACATTTTGCCAAATGAACTTCTTCACGTCTTTTTCCTTTATGGTCGCCAATGGCTCGGCCTCAACCCACTTGGTGAAGTAGTCGGTGGCAGCAATGAAGAACTTGCGGTTGCCCGGGGCTGCTGGGAGTGGTCCTACAATATCCAAACCCCAAAGTGCGAATGGCCAAGGACTTGTAAGGGGGAGCAGTTCTCTGGCCGGTTGGTGGATCTGGTGAGCAAATTTTTGGCATTTTTCACACCTACGAACGTATTTCTGTTTGTCCGCCTGCATGCATGGCCACCAGTAACCTTGGAAAATCGCTCGGTAAACCAGAGACCTGCCCCCAGTATGACTCCCACAGATGCCTTCATGAATCTCGTAGAAGAAAGCTTCAACCTTGTCGAGGTGGACGCACTTCAGATACGGCTCGGTAAAAGACTTCTTGTACAAGGCTCCGGATGAAGAGAGCCAAAACCGCTCTGATTTGGCCCGGATTTTGTTGGCGGTTCTTCTCTTCTGGCAAAATTCTATCTTTTAGGAAGGCGATGATGGGGTCCATCCAGGATGGTCCCAGGTCGGTGCAGAGTACCTCGGACACTTCTGGTTCCTATATGCTTGGCCGAGGTAGGAGTTCTATCATCAAAGGATTGGGGAAAGCTGTTTGCGTGGATGCAAGACCGGCCAACTCGTCAGTTGTGTTATTTTCTTCACGGTTGATTTGTTCTACTCTTATTGCGGCAAACTTCTTTATTTCTGCGCGCACCAGCGCCTGATACTTGGCCATTATTTCATCCCTGGCTTCATACTCTCCAAAGACCTGATTGACCACCAGCTTGGAGTCACTGAATACCATAAGAGCCGATGCTTTCATTCTTAATGCACTCCTCAGTCCGGCAAGGAGGGCCTCGTATTCCGCCTCGTTGTTGGACGCCGAGAAGCCGAGCGTAATTGTCTGCTCGTTAATAAGCCCGTCCGGGGAAGTTAGCACAATACCCAGCCCGGCGCCATGTCTGTTGGAGGCCTTATCGACGAAGAGCTTCCACATCTCGCCAATGAACAACTTCCAGCAATCGGATGGGTTTTGGGAGCTCCTCAACTCCAGGGTTCCGGTTGGTTCATTCTAGTCTTTCTCCATGCCTCGGTTAGGCTTGTCTTTCGATGAGTTATCCGACTTTTCTAGTTCGGCTGCCATTTATCCTTCTTCCATTTGTGACCCAACACTTGTCTCTATTGCCTGTACCATGGGCCGTGCCAAATCTGCACTAGCCAAATCAACCGGGCAAACCGGATGCATTCCAGGGGCAAACTTCGCTATAAAGTCTGTAAGAGCCTGAGCCTTGATCGCGGTACGCGGTTGGAACTTGATGTCGTACTGCCCCAATTCTACGGTCCATTTCAAAATTCTCCCTGTAAAGTCTGCCTTTTCAAAAAGCACCTTGAGTGGAAACTCAGTCAACACCACTATCGTGTGGGCATGAAAATAGTGTGCTAGTTTTCTAGAAGCCATCATCAGGGCCAGGGCTAATTTCTCTAGCGGCAGATATCTCGATTCAGCAGGGAGCAAGGTCTTGCTTACGTAAAAGATGGGAAGGTGCTGGGTGCCTTCAACATGGACCAAAATCGCGCTCACCGCATGTTGAGAGACCGCTAAGTAGAGATACAGTTCTTCGCCCGGCTGTGGTGTAACCAGGATAGAGGCTGAGGACAGGTACAATTTTAGATCAGCCAGCGCACGGTCACATTCGTCGTCCCAAAAGAACTTGGCCTTCAAAATTTTGAAGAAGGGCTTGCAACGATCTGAGGACCAGCTTATAAATCTATTCAGCATGACTGCCATCCCAGCGAGATGTTGCACGTCCTTCGTGGAGTTTGGTCACTCCAGCTCATGTATTGCCTTGATTTAGGATGGGTTGGCTTCAATCCCTCGGTTCGTGACCAGAAAACCCAAAAACTTTCCAATGCCGACTCCGAAGGTGCACTTGGAGGCATTCAAACGAAGCTTGTGATGTTTTAGTATAGCGAACATCTCTGCTAGGTCGGCGAGGTGTTGAGACTTTTCCTTGCTCTTTACCACTATATCATCTATGTAAGCCTCCATAGTGCGTCCCAGAAGGGGAGCGAACATCTTGGTTACCATCATTTGAAAAGTTACCCCGACGTTTTTTAGTCCGAACGGCATGACTTTGTAACAATACAGGCCCCTCGGTGTGGTGAATGAAGTGATCTCTCGGTCTGGTTCATACATGGCTATCTGGTGGTAGTTGCGGTATGCATCCAGGAAGCTGAACCTCTGATGGCCAGCGGTCAAGTCCACCAGCTGGTCGATCCGTGGGAGAGGGAAGCTATCCTTTGGGCACGCACGGTTGACTGTTTTATAATCGACACACACCCATCACTTGCTGTTCTTTTTTGGAACCACCACCGTGTTGGATATCCATTGGGGTTATTGCACTTCTTCTATTGCCCCTGCTTCCAACAAGTTCTTGACTTCTTCTGCCACCACCTCGGTGTGGTGCAAGGCCGAGCGATGTGTCCTCTGGATGATCGGCCATGTATTAGGGAAGACATTCAACTGATAGAAAATGAAGCTAGGGTCGACGCCAGGCATATCGTAAGGCGTCCACGCAAAGGCTTCCATATTGGAAATCAGAAAGTCAACATACTCATGTCACTCGGCGCTAGACAGGGATGAGCCCAAAAGAAAGAACTTGTTAGGGTCATCTCATCTATGCGCACCTCCACCAAATCTTCAACTGATTTCTCTTCGGCCTTTCTCCCTACGTCTTCCAAGACCTCCTTTTCCTCCGGTCCCTCTATCATTTGAACAAGCCCTTTGGCGGCTCGGCTGCCGTTCACCGCAACAAAACACTGTTTCGCCATCACCTGGTCTCCCCGAACCTCTTCTATTTACCCGGTTGGCGCCGGGAAGCGCAGAACCTGATGGTAGGTTGATGCTACGGCTTGCATGGCGTGCAACCAGCCCCTGTCCAAGATTAAGTTGTAGGTGGATGGGACCTTGAGCACCCAGAATTCTACTTGCTTTATGACCGAACCCGCCTTGACTGGCAAAATGATCTTTCCCACCGGCCACTCTGGCTGAGAGTTAAAGCCAACGAAAGGAGACATCGCAAGGGCCAAGTCCTTGTCGTCCAACTTCATTTGCTTGAACGCATCGTAATACATGATTTTGACTGAACTCCCCTGGTCAATCAAGATCCTTTTGATGTCAAAGTCCTTGACGCGAAAAGTCACTACTAGGGCGTCATTGTGGGGCATCTGAATTCTCTCCAAGTCTTTACTGGAAAATGTGAGGATATCTTTCTCTTCGGACTTTCCTTTCTTCACAGCGGGCTGAACGAAAAGCGTTTCCCTCATATGCTCGGCTTTCTTAATCATCCCTCTTAGCTCGCAGACCCTTGCCGGTTCAATGATGCTATGGATGACATTGATTACGCCTTGGGGCGCTACCTCTAGGGTGGCCAGGCCGTTTGGCTCGGTTTGCCCCGGCGGGGCGACTTTCATACCCCCATCTATGTACTGGTCCAAATGTCCCGCCGCCACCAGCTCCTCCAAATGTTGTTTGAGCGGCAAGCAATCCTCCATTCGGTGCCCCCGTTCCTCATGAAAGGTGCAGCGATACCTTGAGTTGAAGCCTCGCTGTGCATTCCCCAACTTTGCCGGCCAGCGGACGAAGGGCTCATCTCGAATTTCACTCAGGATGCGGTAAATAGGGATCTTAAAGACCGTGGTGATACCAGTTCACGCTTTCAATTTCCTCTTGGTGTCTTCCTCTTCATCACGGGGAGCATTAGCTCGGTCGTTTCTGCGGCCTTTGTTTCTATCATCGCGGTTTGAGTTACGATGTTGATCTTTTGACCGGTCGTTTGGGCGGTTGTCCTCCTGCCCGACCGAGTGAACCTTCCCCGCCACTCTTCTATCCGCCGCAACCAGATTAGCCTTCTCGATCGCGGAGGCGGCATCATCCTCCACACAGATGTGTTCATTGATCCGTTACATCAAGGATTCCATAGTTGTGGGCTGGTGCATTGTAAGCGAATCTCGCAGCCTATGACCGACTAGGAAACCTCGCTTGTATTGAGTAATCGCCAGATTGGTGGGGCAGTCGAGGATCTCATTGTAAGTTTTCCAGTACTTCGCATTATACGCCTTCAATGAACCTCCAGACTCTATCTTGACGCCCAGGAGATGGTCGACCTCCTTTGGTGTTCGAGTGTTGGTTTTGAATCTGGTGACGAAGGCCTCCGCTAATTGCTGCCACCCCTCGATACTCCCCTTCGGGAGCCTTTCGAACCATTTCAAGCCCAATTCTCCCAAGCTTGCCGGGAATATGAGGCACATCAAGGCGTCATTGAGCCGATGTCCAGCCATTACTTGCCGGTAATGACTCACGTGCATGTACGGATCCGTCTTGCCATCGTACAAGGTGAACTTAGACTGGTGGAATCCGATAAGGAGTGGTGTACTCTCGATTTCTGGAGACAGCGGCGTAGCTGTAAGTCTCACCAGCTCTTTGTCTACAAGCGTTGGGGCCACCATTCTGGGCGCTGGCATTGCCACTTCCTCACTACACCGGATTTGGGAACTTAGCCTCTGCAACGCCGATAATCTCTGAGTCTCTTTACGGCGTGCCCTCTCCTCCAACATATTCCTCAGGTCTCTGGAACGGGCGGAAAAAGAGTATCGCGACGTCGACGATGGGCGCGAGGGACGGTAGGTGCTGTCGCGAGTAAGAGATTTGCCCTCTTGTGGGTTGGAGTCCCTAACCCTATAGCTCTTGGTGATAGAGAGAGAATGCGTCCTTTCTTGGCGGCGACTGCTAAAACGAGGAGACGGGGTGCGCTCACTAAGGTTGTCCTCTCCAGCAACACCCTTTCCCTTGATCTGGCGCTTCAGCACCTCCATTTCAGCCACCATCTTGCGAATGAGGGCGTCCTGATCTTTGAGTTTGTGCTCCAGGTGCTGTGCATGCAAATCCTCCCGCCGACGACGGCCCTCTGGACTCTTCGAGCGATCAGTACTCCTTGCGCATTTGTCTCGCGCACATCTCGAAGAGGTCTCTAGGCCCGCCATGGCTGGAATGTTTGGGGGGCTTTCTCTCTGACGAACAGATTCTGGTGGGACAGCATCGACGACGGACAGTGGAGTTTCGTCGTTGTTAGCCATGGAAACCGTCGAAAAAGCTTAAAGAGCAAGGTTTGTGTATCAAACTCTTCCCACAGATGGCGCCAATTATACGGGGGTGAAATATCATTTGCTTTCCGTACTCCTAGAACTCAAGCTTCACGTAACGACGTCTAACCTGGAAACAGAGAAATGGTGAGCTGTCCGACGGTGTGTCGCCGGATAAACCCTCCGACGATCAAGTCAAATCACTTGAGGAAGAAGAATACTGTTTTAGAGAGAGAGTCATTCAGATGGCATACCTCCAACTTTCCCGTTCCTTCATTTTTCTAGGCTAGCCATGTAGCCTCAAGGATTATGCGCGCACTACCTCTGTTGTCCTTCCCTAGACAGGTGGCAGTGCTCGCTTCTTACCACCATACGCGTGTAAAGACCAAAACTTCCAAACGATATATGCAGAATTGCCAAGCAGTATTGACGCGTGCTTGGAGCGGGTTTCCCCTCCACCACATCATTGGTCCAGGTGGCACACTCAACCAGGATATCATGACCGACCTATCCTTTGGAGAAACACAACTACGATCAATACGGCCGAGTTGTAAGAAGTCGGTTCTTCGAGATTGACTGGCCGTGAGGCGCACCGGCCTTCGCCCCGGTCTAAATTCATTCCGGGCTATGCTTGGCGCGGTTCCGATCAGGAACACGAATGCCTAGCCGAACGCCTAGCCGAATCACAGCTCGGTCGGGAACACGCATGACCCCATGCTCCGATCGACTGATCTAGCTCGGCCCGGCGCTGTGACAACCCTCACCACTGATTAGTGCTAATCTACGATTAAGCATGTTAACTGACTGATTGATTGAAATTCTGAGCTAATTGATTGAGTGTGTTAGTTTAAATGCATGTCTATCTGTTTGATTGCTAAATTATATGTTCATGTATTATGTTTAAATTGCAAATTGAAGGCCTTATCGGCGGCCGAATCTGAAATTGACTAGTGTTTTGTGCTAGTTAGAATTTATGTGATTTTATGGTATATTTAATTGAAATGTGATTTGGTATGATTAAATTGGATTAAATAGTGTTAAATCACATAAGTTAGACTTATTTACCCTTTTGCCACTTAGTGGCCTATCTCTACAACACTTTGAGACTTGATTTTATATCATTTCATCAGCCCATTTCTTGAGCACAACCGACTAGAGAGAGAGAGATAGGAGAAATTGAGTTCATCTAGGCATTTAGCGTAGAGACTTGAAGATATTGAAGGTTAATTGCATGATTGAGCCTCTAGACTTGAAATTTAGGAACCTAGGTAAGGATTTCATCCTTTTAATTGTGAAATCAAGTTAGTTCTTGCATGGTTCTTGGAAGATTAGAGTTTTAAAGCCAAGAATTGGCTTAATATGTTGAATTGAGTAGGAATTCTTGCATGCATGTGCATATCATGAAGTTTGAGGTTGTTTTCATAGAAATTCTTGCATGCATGTCCACATTTTTGTTATAGTCCATGAACTCACCATGTTTTGAAGTTAAATCTTGCATTTGATCTTGTTTTAGAACATTGGAGTTTCAAGGAACCCATGCATGTGTTGAATTTGCATTGTTCTTCATGTTCTTGAAGTTTATTTGAAAATTGTGTTTAATTGAACTACCTTTGGGCTTTGATTTCTCAAATTGATCTTTGAAACATGTCATATTATGAGTTTGTAAGTGTTTTTCAGAAAATTAGCCCAAGATGATCGAATTTGATGCTTTAAAGTTGAGTTTTGAGCTTGAGATTCAAATCTGGAAATTCTAGATTTTGGACCCACGGTCGAACGAGGAACTCCACGCTCGAGCGTAAACTCTGAATACATGCAGTCCCCTCGAGCGTAGAAAGTGACGCTCGAGCGTGAAATGCATCTATCCAGTATTTTGCATGTGTTTACAATCCGCTTGAGAGAGGACTTGTGTCTCACGCTCGAGCGTGGATCGAGCGCCCGTCGAGCGTGATTTTTGTGCATCCAGTATTTTTACTGTAGCTTACAGTCTGCTCAAGCGACGAAAGTTACGCTCGAGCGGAGCTCCTTTGTCTGCATGTTCGCTCAAGCGTAGAAAGCCACGCTCGAACGAGATCCCCGTTTTCTAAAAATTTTGAAAAGTGTTTAAAAGTGCATCTTTGCATCCTCATTCCATCCTAGGCATTCTTAGGCCTAGTTTAAGACATCTTAATGAGGATATTGATGTAGAACCACATCGAGGCAAATTAGGGATTAAGTTATTATTTTTCCAACTGTGTAGCTTAGTGTGTGTTCATTCTGTAACTGTAGGGTTGGCATCCGAGGACGCTCTAGCTGCTTATAGCCCAGTGCTCTGTGAGTAACAACGTTGTAAAGATATGTTCAATTGAGATTATTTTCTGAACAAATGATTGTGCTGCTTTATGAAATGACACTGTTTACTAAATGAATGTTTGTCCTATTTGTGAACTGTATTTGTGGCATCCATAGCAATTTATTGTTACTGAACTGTTACTGTTACTGTTACAGAGATCTCTGTCGGTTCCCATGTTTAGAACCACTACTGTTTACTGATATGATGGCCATCATTGACTGCTCGGTCTGTTAAGACCTACTGTACTGTTTTGCTATTGGATGTACCACATATGACTATTATAGTTTCTGAATGACTGTTATGGCATGAATTATGAGCCACAAATTGAATGACTGATATACTGATAAATGACTGTTTTCAATACTGAAAGGACATTCATTCTTAACATCTTTACGCATATGTTATTCACTGGGCTTTAGCTTACTGTTTATATATATATGTAGGTGTTCAGGCACCGAACCGAAGTTAGGAGCGTCGGATTAGCTCTTGTTTTGTCAAGCCAACCAACGTGCCTCACTGAGAGGTTCCAAGTCTTTCAAACTAGGCCTTTTTGGGGTGTTTTAGATTTCTCCCTTTCTATTTCTGTTTTGTATAGACTGTATAGACTATTGCTGTACTGTTTGGTAGGGATTTGGTCCCTAATTGAATACCTGTATATGATGTATGTACATACTGTTATGGTTTGAATGTGTATATGTTTGAAAAGTTTTTTGCATACAGACTGTCACAGCTCATTGGATATCTTTTAATTACTGTTTTGGCTTCTGTCAGTCCCTGTACTCTGTATTATTGTTACTACTATTAAGTAGGCCTTTGGTAATCACGGATTACTGGCCGATTATGGTGCTAAACCCATAGAAGCGGGTTTGGGTCGTGACAGGTGCGACGGCCCGTGGAGCCACTCCAACCGAGCAAACGATGTGACTCGGCCACCCGCTACCACCCGCGTTACCGTAGCTCGGCCATACTTGTCCGGCGCAAATCTCCCTCTCACCTTACATTTTTTTTGGGAATGAACTTAAGGCAACCAAACAAAACCAATTTCCCCTACAATCATGGGGAAAAAAATACAATCATGAGCCGAAAGTCACCTCCAAGTCAAGTTAGTCAACAGTTTGTCGAATTTCAGCCATCAAAACCAAAATTTTGAGGTATTTTGGGGGCAAGGAATAAGAAATCAATCGTCACCATGTAAAAGATAATGTAGAATAAAATAATTTGGGAGAGAGAGAGAAAAAAATGGTAGGTGAAGAGAGAAAAAGATGTAGAAGGTAAACCAGGGGCTTGTAGAATAAATTATTTTGGGACTACTTACCCAAAAAAATAAAAAATAAAAAATATTTTGGGAGAGAAAAAAAATATATATTTGGTGGAGAGAGAGATGTGGAAAGGTGAACCAGGGGGTTCTTTTGGGAGAAAATTATTGAAGGTTGTTGGACAATTGCTCCACATTAATCTACAATGTCTTAAAATCATCAAATAACTTTTTCTTTTTTAAATACATAATCTTTTGTCTCCAAATTTCTTTGTTCATTGTCTTAACATATTTTCAAGCAAGAAATCTTGTCTCTCAAGAGTATCATATGATTCTATAGCTAAAAATGCATTGAAATAGAGGCTGAAAATGCATTGAAATGGAGGGATTAAATAATTTAGGATTAAAATGTTTAATATATAAATGATACACTATCATGGTCTATTGAGCTCTCTCATAAAAATATAGAAAAATGTTTTAAAAATCTAAAAGAAGAGCTCTAAAACAGTATTAATTCACCTTTTTTTTTTCTTGTGTTTTGTCTTTTTCCTTTTTTTGGGGGGTCTATCAAAGCCCAAAAATATATATCCCAAATCTGTGGGTCTCATGTCTCTATGAGGAGGTTCAATACACTAGGCTCGTGTACCCGTTACACAACATACAACATATACCCGTTTGGAATTCTAGCATTTTTAGGAAGTTCTCATAAATGATTCAGAGTGAATCATTTATGTGTGGCATATCTACGAGTCTCATTTCTCTACGAGAGAATCCAATACACTACATTAGTATATTTTTGTACAAATTATTATATATTCTCGAAGTAACCATATAATACTATTTACAGAAATATTTTTAGCTAATAAAAAATTACAACACACGAGATAAAGTCATGCTTTACCTTCTAATTATCAAACAAATGTAAAGTCCGCATATATCACCTAAAAATGTTTCACTATATAATTAACTTAGAATATCATTTAAACAATATTACATAACACTTCAAAACTATTGAATAATTATTAGTCCAACAATGATAGAGACTACTAATTTTGGAATTCTAAAAAGACCACTAAGGACATGCCACTCAATAAAAAAAAAAAAAAATACAATACTAAAGCCAAAATATCAAATCATTTATACTGAAACCCACTACCACATCATTAATAATAGCACTAATTAATACCCTCACTCATTCTCCCTATTAGTCACACAAAATATCCTTATGTATCTTGCCATTTAGACTCAAAAGTGATTCAAGTGAAAGTGCGAATGGGCATAGGGAGGCTATGATTTTGCGACAAAACATAGCACAAATCCAGAGAAGGAAAATAAATAAATAAATAAAAATAATAAAACCATTAAAAAGGGTAACAGTAAAGACTCCACTTTTCACTTTTGTGAAACACAATACCCAAAAGCCAGCAAAATTTTGGACTTTTATTATTCTCACTCTCCACATTAAAATTCACCCAATCCCCTTCCAATCACTGATATGTAACCCTTTGATTCTGTGCAATTACTCCACAAGAGAGAGAGAGAGAGAGAAAGAGAGAGCAAAGCATGGAGGTGGGTGAGTTGCAGAGACAGTTTGTTGAGTACACAGCATCATTGTTTGGTGAGGTAATGAAAAAAGAGAGCATGCAAATCAATGAATATATAGCATATGGGTTTTGTTTTGTTTTTGTTGTTTTGGGTTGTGTTTGTTTCATGTTTGGTTTTTTGCTTTTTGTTGTTGTTTTTGTTTTTGTTCTGTTTTTTGAAGGGGTTCCTGGATAGTCAGTTCACACAGCTCCAACAACTGCAAGATGAGAGTAACCCTGATTTTGTGGTTGAAGTTGTCTCTCTCTTCTTTGAAGATTCTGAAAGGTTTCTCAATGATCTCACCAGAGCTCTGTGAGGACCCTAAACACCCCCCCTCTAAAGTTTTGTGCAACAAGTATATCAAAGTGGTACACCGGACTCACAAAGAAATGGGACCTGAGAATCACCGATTATGATCCACTCCTTTACAACATTGAAATGAAAATCTTCATTTCAATACATGATGTTGCAACACATTATGAAAATTTAAAATTCAAAAGTTTTAAATTGTCACATAAAAATGTCTCTACATGACTCCTTATATCATTATCTGTCTCATATTTTTCTCTACATCGTTGTCTGTTTTATACTATTTTAGTCAGTGATTTCGATAACATGATAATATATGATGGATACGAGACAGATGATCTATGCTCTTTAAATATATCAAGGAACATGGATTCCATCTCTTTGTGAGAGAGTCGGATACACCATGTTATATCCGTTACACAAAATATCGCTCCTCTCTCCTCTAAGACTTGTTCCAAAGTTCTTGGGATTACCCTCTCTCTACCTATTTTGTACAGAGAACAGAAGTGTGTAGACTTCAAAAAGGTTGATACCCATGTTCACCAGTTCAAGGGCAGCAGTTCCAGGTACATACATACATACATATATACACAACACTGTTGAGTACATGAGTTCAATCAAGAACTTCTTTTAGGCATTTGCAATCTGTTTAGATAAGCTAAAAACATATCATTCTTCTCTAACATTATTAAAAGAAAAAAATATTTACAAGCAAATAGTTTGTACAGAATATACCTCTGGAATGTTGTATCAATGGCAGTTTTCAATTTATGAGGATAAGGAAAATACTATGGACTCCAAATAAATTATTAAATTTTTTACTAAATCTCTTGGGACAGGTAAAAAAATTTGGTAATTTATTTGGGTTCCTACCATAATAACTCTGAAGATAATGATAGCTGTTTTGATTAGAAATGAATCATTTCGTATAAAAAATTTGTACAGTTTGTATGTCATTTCTCTTGCTAAATTCTCTAACATTGTTAATAGTGACGTTAACTTTCTAAAACACTCAGAGCACCCAAAAAAAATTCTTTGAAAAAAACACAACCAACCCTAATAAGCTGCATTAAGCAGCACTGCAGTGAAAAAATGAGGAAAAAGATTTGTGTTTTGTTGATGTTCTTTTACTTCATTATGTTTTCTTACGAGAATAATATGATTTGTGCAACAGCATAGGTGCACAGAGGGTAAAAAATGCGTGCATTTCCTTTCGCAATTTTTGTGAGGAACAAAACATCGAAGCGTAAGTATTGTTATCATTCTTCTCTTTTTCTTTTACTCAACTCGATATTGAAGATTTTGTTTGGGTTCTTGTTTTTCAAAATTTATCATGTTTAAATCAATTTAACAAATTGGAATTAGAGAAGTACTTAAAAAGGAACTAAGGCTTGGAAACTTTCAATTTTTTTACTAGGTGTTGGAGATGTCTACAACATGTGAAACAAGAGTATTTGCTTGTGAAAAACAAGCTTGAAACTTTATTCAGGGTAAGTACATTAAAGCCTTTGTCTTGAAACATGTTTTGGAACTGTCTCTTCTACATTTACTGAAACAACCTCTTCGCGTGTGGGGTTAAGATCAGTGGCGAAGCCACTATGTAACCAGGAGATGCACATACCCCTCAACTTTTAAATATTTACTTTTTATCCTAAGATTTAAAAAAAAAAAAAATTTATTTTATTTTTTCCCTCTAAAATTATATATATACCCTATTGAAATTTTTTCCATTCTTCTTCTAACAAACTCGACAAAACATTAACTAGAACAAGAATATAGTTTCACTTCTTATTTGTTTCACAAATGAATCTAAGAAAGCATTGTATGTTATTATTATTTTTCATTTTTATCTTCATTTCTTATTGGTTAAGAGTTTTATAAATTTGAATGTTACAACAGTTTTATTGTAGTAATATTGAAATTTTTCTGAAATATTGATAATTGATTTTTGTACCAAACAAAATCAAATCAAGTCTTGTGTCCCAAACTCTTACCTAACGTAATAATTTTTCTTAGTTAAGGTTACATATATTTGACCATTTTCAAACCCTACAATAGCATAAGTCTCATGTACTAAATTGTCCTTTATTCTCTTCAGCATTTGTTATAATTTTCAAATTTAAAAGTTTCCCTTTTTTTCTATTTGTAGCTGGAGCAACAAATTTTGGCTACTGGGGGGTCAATTCCCCTGATGGAATGAGTGGTCTCAAGGTTAATTAGGGCAATTTACGTACATGCAAATTGAGTAAATTTAGGAGGTTGTTGCCATGAAGCTTTTGTTGTGAGTTTATGTTAACTTCCACTTAATGTAAAGATTCTATAAACTACTGATTCCTAAATTCGAGTTTTTCTACTACCATATGCAGTTTTGCCTTAATTTTCCGAATTGTAAAATATATATATATATATATATATAAAAAATGTGATTTTGATTCTTTGGACGAACTTCACATTACCTCTTATGGTTTGGCCTATGTGCGGATAAACTATTATCATTTAGAAATAACCACATAATTCCCGTATAATTTGTAGACCAAAGTACACCATCCACTTTTTCATCCAAAGTTGGCTGTGAAGTTCACACACCTATGAAGAGAGAAAGCTATTTTGAAGACCAAAATACCTCTTGCACATTGTTAAATTTACAAAAACATGCCATTCTTCTTCCTCCTCCCTCTACTATTTTTTCTTTCTATTCCTTAATTCCAACCCACTGTACCAGCTGGGCACAAAAACGAGAGGCCCGGCAATATCTTCCTGAGACCGGTACAACCTTTCATGGCTACATCTCTATGCACATGACTATGGGCAAACTTGGACACATCAATACAATGAATAGACTATGGGCATACTTGGACTCACCAATACCCACCACCATGCCTCAGACGTAAGTAAAGCGAAACTAGTACACACAATCAAAACAAAACTTTTCAAACAACTAATGAGCACTGTCAAGAATTCAAAACCCAAGAAGACCAATTAACAGATTCCAATTGAGCACCAAATTTTAATTCATTAACACAATTGAATTACCAAACAAAACAAATTCAGTTCATATTTTATTTTATTTTTTTAAAATTTTCTTTTTTTGGTTACTCCTGTGAATCCTCAAAAGAAAGAAAAAAATTAAGATTACTATAAAAAAAATAACTCAGAGTGAACTAAAACCACCTCTGTGCGAAGTGGTGATCATTGGGATAGGGTCAGCAATGAAGGATGAGAAGGCTGCAGTGGTGATTGCTAGGGGTGGGGGTGGGGAGCTGTGTGGTGATGGTGGGGTGTGTGTGTGTTGCCAGGGGGTGCAGCCATGGGAGGATGAAGGAGAGAAGAAGAAAATAAAGAGGAAGAAGAGGGTATGACATTAAATTCACAAATTCTGTTAACAGAAGTTAGTGTGTATTTTAATCCACAAACTATTGGAAATTATGTAATTATTTTCAAATGATAAGAAGATTATCCGTACATAGATCACATGGGGATAAAGTGACATTTGCCCTAATTGTCATTGAAAACTTGGCAGCAAATCAATCTAGCTTTTTGATGACCTAAATTCACTATACAAAAGAAAATGCTTCTTGCCCTTTTGGGACCATTAACCATCTAGAATTGGTTGAAAATTATTGCCAATAACTTTTAAAAAAAAAATTCACGATGCCCATTAGGCCTACTAAAAAAGTCATTCAGATCTCTGCCTAACAATAGCACAATATAGATCTAAAAGCAATAAGAGAGAATAATAAGATACGCCACTTTGAACAACTTGGAATAGAATCACATTCCAATAAGATACCAACATCCCCACGAGATTTGATGACGCAACATTTTTTAGAACACAATAAGGCTATGAATTATGAAATCTTAAGGTTCTATTTGAATTAAGAATTTGAGTAAGAATTGATACGAGGAAAGGGGAAAAAAAATGAAAAAGTGAATTACACTAATCTCCCATAAGGTTTGGACAAAAAACAAAGAGTATCAGAATTTTATCATAGTTACACTAACCTTCCTTTTAGTAAGGTTAAGGGATCAAAACTAATTCAAATGATACGAAAACATGAAGATAAACGGTAAAATATACATTTTAGTGTGAAAGAGAAAAATCATTTTTCCATCTATGACTAACAAAATTCTGATAAAAAAAAAAGACTAGTATTATGTGAATTAAAACATTAAGAGAACTTAATGTAATTATGTTAATTTGTAAGGCTTACTATATTTTTGCCAATCTCATGGAGGTTAATATAATTCATCTAAAAAACAACTAATAATTCAAGCAACACAAAACTTGGGTTCCAAATTGATAGGCCCCAAAAACCCATCCAACAGAGTTTAACCTTTTTGGATTTTTTTTTTTTAGTTTTTTTATTTTTTTGAACTTTCTTTTTGAGTAGGGAAAAAAAAAAAAAAAAAGTAAAGATCAAAGGTTTTTTTATTGGAAATTACATGTAGAGAACAATCAATTCTAGATAATCATTGCAAATGATACAAGCATTCCTTTCTTTCTGAGAAATAATTCATTTTACGTGGATGTGAATATTAGCCTTGCAAATTCACACAATTGAGCACTAAAACAGTAGAACAACTAACATGCCCAAACATTCTCTCTTTTTTCTGAGGAACCTCTCAAGGTTCCACATTACTGGACTTAGAATAAACTCCTAATACCTGCAAAACACGTGTATCAATCAAGACTGGACAACAAAGAGGAGTCGAACTAGAATGTCTCAATCATCCTGTGCTAACCATGCGAAGCAAATGCAAAAACGGCTCACACCCATGTCAAACAGTGTCCTGATTCTGTTGATATGAAGCCACCTGAAAGTTCAGGTCATCTCGTCTGCTACGGACCATAAGGTATTAACAGTGAACATACAAGTGCTGTTGTGATTAAAACACCGCTCTAGTTTTTTTTATTTAAAAGCTTAATTAAACTTCATGTACACAGGAAATAGATGAGACAGTGACTATTAAAGGGAATGCTACAAGAATGTTGGAATCACAAGTTACACCGGAAAGATAAAGAATAAGAAAAAAAGGAAGAAAAAAGTAAACATACAACTTACATGGGGTGGAAGACATGCCGCCTCCAACTTTTCATCTCATTAGATAGAGGGACCATCCCTTTATGGTCGGTGACTCAGCAGCAACACAAGTGTCAAAGTCTTGGCACATCTGAGAAAGCAAAAAACAACGCAAAACTTCGACCAGTGTGGCAATGACAACCAGCATTCAGTTGGGAAGATCAAAAGCTTAATAAACATATTCATGTGGCAGAGATTCACCGACTAACATTGTGTATACTCAATGGTGCCCATGTACATATGAAGAAAACAAGCCCTTTTTAGATCATAGATTTTGTTAACAACTAGGCAGTGTTGACAAACAGACACCTGCGGATAGTTGTTGCAATTTTGCCAACCTTTTGTGGGTGGAGGAGGACCACACATATACCACAACAAACCACAGCAGCAGCGATCACAAAGATAAGAGGCCGAGAGGTCAAAATTCTGCTACTAAATACAAGACTGCAGGACTTCCTGGGCCATTCCTTCATGCTCATTTCAACGTCTCTATTCAAGAGTGGAACAGTACCACTGTGGTCTAGAGAATTTGATCCCTCTACAGCGTCCAAACTGCCTTTCTCTGTCACCTCCATATTCTGCAACTTCAAAAGGCAGCGTTGTTTAACAGAAGACAAAAATAATAGATGATCATATAAAATGTCTCTATTCACAAATTAAAAGCAAAACCACATAAATGAGTTTGAAAATAATACTCAAACAAGTCCTTTTCTTTTCTTTTTTGGCAATCTAAACAAGTCATTGAAACACAACCTTCCCCTTTTCCTTTTTTTTTTTTTTCGCGCGGGGGGGTTGGGTTTGGCCAAGGCAATACACTAAATGAGAGTCAGATACTAGTTCAAGTTCAAATGAAATTTAATAAATATAAGTAACAATCAGAAATTTCCTTGGTTATGTTTTTCAATATACACGCTGAAAGAAAAACAAACTGGACATTCAAACCCAATGCATCTTAAATCCCCAACCTTAGTTAGAACCCACACCAAAAACATAAATAAAATTAAGCAATGGTCTGACATTAACAAGAGTGATATATACATGAACTGCCATTAACACTTTACATGGATATATGATATGATTATGAAGCCTCTTATATTCAAACTTTCACCGTAACAAGAAAAACCCTAATTGTATGGTGCATATAATAATTACACATGCAGCAGATAAACAAATATGCACATACATGAAGAGAAAATATCGGTTTTAAGCAAATGTTATAAACAACAGACTCTAAGTCAAATAAGGATCCACCCACACAACAATTGATGTTCTCACCTGATCAATAAATGAAACAACAGAGCGCATGTCAATTTGCGAACTTTGATATACGCAATTCCCTTTTGGAACAAGATTTCTAGAATGCCGTACTGAATCCACATTTTCCTGAAGTCTTGCAGAAACGATTCCTCTAGCATGATCAACATTACTCTGAAGTAATTTCATTTCAGCATCAGCAATGCCATTAGTCATACAGTGTAACTTCTTATCATCCATCAGAGTCTCCATATAATGTAGAACTCTCTCCAATATGCTGATGGACTTATTCTGTATTAGAAAGGTCAATAAACGATTGAAGCTTCCTATCTGAGACGAAGACAATCTGTACTTCATATCTTCCAGTGCAGGATTCCTGAGTAACCAAGCAGTATCCAAAATAAATTGAGAAAATGCTGTTTGTCTCAGAATAGAAACTTCACATGAATCATGCACAGAACTAGCAGCCATGAACTTTGATTCTTTCAAAGAGAGAGAGAGAGATGCTTCAAATCTCTGCTCCATAATCTTCATTTCAGAACAAATTTCTTTATTCCCAATTAAAATGGGAATGAAGTTGGATAAGCCAGACTCATTCTCAACCTACAAAAGAAATTTTAGAGGAAAAACAGAGAATTTCAGAGTTGAAAGTTGATGACAATTTTTTCCATGCAACGAAATGTAATCATAACCAACACTTCAGTTTGTGTTGGGATGAATGTGAATGATGATAGTGCATATGAATTACTGATTCCCTTGTCTACATCTAGTCTAAAAATCTAGAGATCCCACAAGTAAATCTTGTTTATCAACAGTGACCGAATATGAAACAAACAGTCAAACAAATTTAGCTGCAAATCCAGATGCCAAACAAACAGACTTAACCAGTATATTGGAAACATGAACAGATATGACCAATAATAAGTGGCTAAACAACTTTAGTACTAGACAGAAAAAGTAAGTTATACATCAGAATATAAATATAGAATATCATCACAAAAAGTACAAACAAACTTAGTGCCATCATATCATTTCTTAGAAACGCATAGCAGATAGAATCCATACAGTTTCTTTCAACACAAGCATGCCCAAGAGAACAGGCATATCTATGAACACTCGGAATGAACATAGATATAAGTTGATTTGTCTGACAATTGGTTGCAAGTGTCAGATAGATAGGTGGGCAGTAATCCAGTGCAAGTAAAGTCAAACAAATCAAAATCTTGACAATGTTCATTAACACACTAAAACTAAAGAAGAGGCAAGATAAAATGTACCCATTCTGGAAGCATCTTGTATGGATTATGATATATTTAATTTAAAATGAGAAAAGGAAGAAAAAATAAAAGAAAATATAACGAAAACAAGAAGTCGTAAAAAATAATACCTCAATAAATGCAGGGCCAAAAAGATCCGGTTCAGTATGACGGATACATATCTTCAATAACTGATGATTAAAATTAGCAGTGACCCCTTCAGAGTCATCATACGGAGGTGGAACAGAATAATCATATGCCAGGTACTTCCCAGCAAAAGATACAAGAAACCTGCCATCAAGATCCAGTAAAGAGATACATCGAATGGTCCAAGAAAAATATACACAGCATAATCTGAACGCAAAATGACATTCTAGTAAAGACATGCAACTATCAGTCGGAAGAATGACAATATATGCGTAAGATAGCCTGAATGAACCAAAAAGAATGTACGCATAAGATAGCCTGAATGCAAAACTTCAAAGTACTCAAGAAAGAAAATTAAAAAGAAAGGCATTGGAGAACCTAGAATAGTTACAGCAAAGTGAAGTTAAAAAACAACAGATAAATTCAATAATCTGTGCCATATATCTTCAATCCCCTTAAAGTACAAACTGCGCTTTTCTAATGTTACCCTATTATTATTCTCAAAGGGCCACACTCTCCTATTTATTTAACAATAAAGATGCAAGACAATTCGATTCAGGACTCATCACGAGTAACTGGTTGATTGAATCAGTCAATTAGTTATATATTCCATCTGCCACTAGAAATTTTTGCCAAAGGTACCATGTTAGCCTCTACTCACACATTTTCTAGCCTTACCTTGTCCTGGTAGCAACTTCAATATGTAGGGGTGGAGCTATGCATTGAACAGTGGTGTCAATTGACACCACTGAACTTCAAATTTTTGATAAGTATATGTAAAAAATTATGAGTATTTACAAATTGAACCTAGTGGGCCTAAATAAAATAAATTAATTCTTAAACTTTTACAAATTGACCCCAGTAGGTAAAAACAAAATCAAACTTTATTCAGAAATTTAGGCTTCTAGAAACAAACCAAACGTTTGTTTATTCCTCTTGGAGACTGGACATCGACTTTTGGTTCTCTCCCTCGACTATTGCTTTGGTTGTCTCTTACTCTCATGTTGCTTCTTCCTTCATTCTTTTTCTCTCCAATGTTCCATTCCAGTTGCAGAAACTTGTTCACTTGTTCGGGTCTTCGTTCATTCACTGCGGTAGTTGTGATTGCCGAGACTTTTGATCTAGTTTAGGCCCTTTGGTCTTTGATTGTGGCACCAAGGTTGGCTTTCTTTTACTCTAAAACCTTCACTCTTATTTTATTTTATTTTATTTTATTTTTTATTTTTATTTTTATTTTTTCCCTGTGTGATTCAATTGTGTTGATGGGTTTGTCAATATTTGGGATTATATAGCAACTATGCCTAGGGTTTTTTTGGGGCTTATTAAGTTTTGAGATTTTGGGGCTTCCTGATGATTTTGAACAAGCATTTTGTTAACCTCTCTTGCATCAAATTCTAATTTTACTAGACAACTATATTGATGATTTTGAACTCCATCTATGAACTAAATATGATAAATTTGTGTTTGTCCATTGTATTTTGAACTGGAAGTCTGTAGGATATACACACACACATATATATATGACATTGATGATGCTTCGATAAATGACCCCGCTAAAGGAAATTCCTGGCTACGCCACTGTCAACATTTGTACAACCTCAGTTCCAAAATTATTGGTCAGCTGCAAAAGATAAACTACATCTTCAGGTTTCCCCGATCCGGATATCAGACAGTGCTACTCTGCCACCTTAGGCGTAGCTATGTCTTATTCTTCGTTGTCCAGCCATTTGCCCATATCAACACCCTCATTTTCGTCAACCTCTGCACTCAATATATTAACATGGTGTTCATAGACATCCACCACATAATCTGATAAAACATGACTAAACACAACCTTAAGAAGACTCAACTCTACTCAAGAAAGTTCATATTCCATCAATTTCAGTTCAATACCAGGTGCCCTTTTTTCTGCTTTTGTAGCTATTTGATATACTTCAACTTTGGATCATTTTCCTCCAATAAAATTTCCTGCAGTTGGGTCTTTCTATATCATGCTCTACAACAACGACAACAACAAAAAAAATATTTTCTAGTCCATGCCTCATCAATACCAACGTAGAACGACTGTAGGCTCCCCTACTGTAACGGATATGATCCCATCTAGAACTATGTATTTAACTGGTGCAATTTCACTTCTCTACGTCCACCATTTTTAAAATGTTTGAAGTCACTTCAAGAAGATTGTGAACAACAAAGATTCAGGAAATTTCTTTACTAATTTGGTCCATACAGAAAGTAGAAAAAGAAGGATCTCAAAAATGTATTTTATTTTAGATCTCCTAAAGCAGCCCATTTCCTCCTTTCTTTTGGTTCCACTTCTTTGTAGGTTGAAGAAGTTTTGTATTTAGAGCTTCCTAATATATTAAGTTGGTGTTCTCAGGGGTTTCTAGGTGCCCTGGGTTACAGTTTGTAGTTGTACTCCTTTCTTGTTAAAAAATGAAATCCGTTTATAAAATAAATTATTTATCAAATAAACTAGCTTAAACTCATGGCCGCATGCCACATTCTTTTCATTGTTCATTTATTTATTTTGTCCGGCTCTTTTTTTTTTTTTTTTGGGGGGGAGGGGGGGCAATTATTGACATCACTATGCACTGAACTATATTTATTTGACAGAACTAAGGAAAATGATAATTGCAACTAAAAGAGCATAAATTAATCATTATTTATAACTATATAGTAGTTGAGAAAGATTTATTATTAAGAAAATTAAAATAAATTCAGTAATATATGCAACCTATACGGAAGGTCATATTCATTAAAAGGATTTAATTAACACAACACTAACATACCGAAATTTGGGTTGAAGTAGATTACTACCACAAGCCACAAACTCCATAGGCTTCCCAGCCTCAAAACATGTTGGATGAACATAGTGAAGTTTTGGGGCCTGCTCCTCCGCCTTGATTTGTATCACAGAAGTTCCATCTGTATCCATTAGAATGCTAAGTACATGTTAGAAAGTTTGAACAAGCTCCGATAATGCAAGAACATTTCTACTAAAATACGCAAATTCCACAACTAAGAACAAAAAGTTATTGTCAACATGTCAACAACTGAGGAAGAGCATCTAGTCTGCAAGAAAAAGTTGACTTTCCATCAGATTATTTTGATCCAAGAATATTCCTCCCAGTTTGTGCTTCAAATTAGAAGAGGAGCATGCAGCGAGTAAAAATTACTCTTTCAACAACATATATTAGATATTCTCAAATCATCCAACAAAACCAACTAATATGTTGGTCTAAATCAAGTGGTTGGTTGATCTCCCTTTCTTTTTCTCCTCAATTCTTCTTCATTAAAACAAAAATATTACCAAATGTACCCTTAGTAGCTAAAAGTTGTCGGCGCAAGTGGAAAGTGTACAACATATCAAAAGATAACACAATATAAACAAGGAGAAGCTCATGTTCAGAAAGACAAGAAAAGCCAAACAATATTTCAAGACTTGCAACAACATGGTGATACATATGGAGTCAAACATTCAGGTATCAACCTACCTTTCATAACACGAAAAATTACATTGTCTAGATAAACAAGGAAAGTGCCTCTTCCAGATAACATCTTTCCAGGCGCAGCGACAAAGTCATGTATATATACAACAGGTTCTTGGAGTAACTGCTCAACAGAATGTAGTAATGAAGTTAAATCATGAAAACCCTGCTAAGAAACATACTCAGAAACCACAGGTTAAAAACCACAATAATGCTAAATACTACAAGCAAATACGGTTGGCTATGTCCCTGGACCTTCTGGCTTCCCTGTCACGTCCAAACGTAATCAGAGAAGGCCTACCCAAGCAATATTATGGGCACAAATTCGAACACTAAATTATAATTTATGCATCAACTAGGCATTCACCGAATGTCTACAAAGCGCAGTTTCAAATTATGCTAGTCAACAAATGCCACTGAGAACAAGCTTACAGCCTCTTTATATATGTAAGTAAGAATAACTTACAGGGCATTAAAATAGACATTACCTTAAACCACATAGAATTTGGCATTGCAATGAACGCAGTCAAGATTGTACAACCAGGACGGATATAACCCTCCAACTCAACAGGCATGCTGGACAACCATTGAAATATCTGTAAAAAAATTTAAACTCCCGTTAATCAACTCCCAGTATCCCTCCTGGAAGTAAAAGTTTATTCTCCTTCAAATACTAAACTGTAATAATAGTCCTGTAAATACTTGGTGCCGAAGTCGTCTGGGGAACTCTGCAGGATTCCAATCATAAAGCTTGAAAGAGATCCGACCAGTGGGACACTACAGGGGGGAAAAATCAATTAACATTAATTTTAAGTAATTTTCTCATAGAAACATGGAAATAGAGGTGAACTCACAGACAAAGAATCCATCACAGACATACCAGTGAAGAGTAAGCACTCTTATTGTCACAATAGAATGAAGAATGAGCATGTTTGGACTCATCTTTTTCTCCATCGATTTGGGGCTCACGAGACACCACAAAAGATGCAACACTATCACTCTGAATATTTTGGGAACTAGGATTTGAGCAGAGTGTAGGAATTTGTCCTTCTTCAGACTCCAATAATGGTTCCCTTTCTGTTAATTGGCTGCTCAAGCATGTACTATCTGTGCCACATAGAAACTCATTTAGTTCAACATCTCATTTTATACGAAAGCAAATTTCAATGGGGATAACAAGGTGAATCTAAATTATCATGAATGGCAAATTGTTCCAATAATTGATCCAATACCAGTCATACAATGTATTGAAGGTACTCGTACAGAATTGTTACTTAAGCAAAGCTAATAATATGACATCCTCTTCAACAGTTCCACATATCTAAGTGAGGGGGCTTCGTTAAGTGAAATCAGAATTGAAGTATCAAATAATTTTGGCAATACCTTTTTCATTTTCATCATCACGAGCTACATCGTCAGCTAAAACAAGCTCTTGAGGATCCTTTTCAACTGCAACTTTGGACTCGCTGGGTTTTCTTCGACGCCTATTATTGTGACGCTCCAATTTCCTCCGACAACTACGTTTACCTTCATCAAAATCTGATAAGATGTGAAACCTGCCAACAAATTACCAAACCAGCAAAAACTTGCATAAAAACAAATAACTAATTGACATGAATGATACATTCACCTCTAAAATAAATGCATTGCCACACTCATCACAACTCCGAACATAACTTAATCAAAGCAGCAAAACAAAATTCTCCATTTTTCTATGTGCTTCAATCTCTACAGGTTTGTGACCCGAGTGCAAATGTTTATAAAGTGTATCAATGGAAATCCCAAAATAATGCATTGACAACAGGCACCAACAGGCAAATTGGGGTTGCTGATTCATTGAATTTCTAAGGTTCCAAGAGCACAATAAATGAATAAACAAAAAACCCAGTGCAGCACAACGTCAGATAAGAGCCACTTCAAGAGGTTTATGTGTGTGCTTCGGGTTTAATCAAGCTATGCGCTCTTATTGCCCTTTAAGATTCACCCCACATAACATTTCCACCGTATTTTCATTCCACCAAATAATGGAAAAGTAAAATTTTACAGGCAATGTAAGGCTGATTCACAAATTATAATCATCACCATGTCACAAGAGTGTCATGCCTGTTATAATTGAATTCCATAGATTATTTCCATGTAGACGCATATGAAGGGATAACTGATAAGGATCCTCTACAATAGTTTTCGAACAACAATCTTCTTGTGTTTTTTTACTACTGCAAGACATATCAGCAAAATATATAAAAGCAAAATGCATAATCCAACTACTTGAGTTACAAATTGAAGTAAAATGACTTTAAAACACCATGTATTATTTTTTCAAACCAAGCATCTTAATTTGACGTAGTTTTGTTTCAACTTAAAACCTAGACCATTGAATTACCATTTCAGAGAAATCCATCGCAACCTGATCCATATTAACATATGTCGATGTACGCAACTACAAATGGATGAAAAAATATACTAGTCTACATGTTTGGCTTTGGCTAAGCGGTATAAGATCCAAGGTCTCAAGATCGAGTCACTCTAAGGGGCATCTGAGATTTTCCCGACCGTCAACTTCACGACCTGGATTAGTCGAGATATGCAAACTTACCGAATTATCAAAAATATACGTATACATAGTCTACATGTGAATTTGACGTAGTAACCATTAACAGCTATAAATCTAGTATTATCTAATTTCATTTACAAAGTTGTACAAATTCAATTTTATTTACAAAGTTGTACAAATTCAATTTTATATCCCAAAAATGACAGACATGAAAAATTGAAGCTTACTTTCCACACTGTTGACAATATCTCTTACTCAGCCCATCAAGAACAACAGTACTAGCATTCGCACATCGAAGACAAACACGGTGTCTCCGATGATACCCTTTAAGCTCACTGATATCCGCCTCGCACCCCGGAACCTGACACCTCGCCGCCGCCCCCGCCGCCGCCCTCGGCCTCTTCTTGACCGGGACGCCCTCCTCCTCCTCCTCCTTCTCGTCGAGCTCCGGGCAGGCGCAAGGAATCCTCGCCAAAAAATTGGAGCAAATCAGCCTGGGATCCCGCTTTCGAATCCGGTCAACAGAATCGGAATCAGGAGGAGGTAGTACCGGAGTGTTTTCGGAGGAGTCGAAAGAAATGTTCAATTGGTCTTCGAGGTTGAAATCGAGGAAGTCGGACCAGTCCCATAGGGAAGAAGACGAGGGATCGTCGTTGAGTGGAGGGTTAGAGAAAAGGTTTTCCATGTCCGAGACGCTAGGTTGTGGTGGTGGTGGTGGTGATGGAAGAGAAAGAGTATCCATTGATGAAAACCCTAGGGGCTGAGAGTGGTTGAAGCGGTGGTTGGAGAGCGATAGAGAGAGAAGGAAAGGGAGGCGGAGGGAGGACCACCGCCAGTAAAAAGACAGCAGGTGAGGTAAGGTAGCAGTAGGTGGTGACACGGAATCGTAAGATTGGTTTGGGTGCTCTGTTTGACTATTAAATGAAAAAATATGATAAACGTGAGAGTGAAGGGAAAGACGTGGAATTGAAGCAAAATTTTATTAGTTAGGTTAGGGAGTGAAGGGAAAGAAGTGGAATTGAAGCAAAATTTTATTAGTTAGGTCAGGAATATTAAATAATTTATTAAATTTTTTATTAAATTTCTTGTTGAGATCTCATAAAAAATTTAATAAATTATTTGAAATTTATAATATTTTTTAAATTTTATTGTTGGATTGGGACCTCCGTTTTGTTTATCGATTGATTATTTTAGTTAAAAGGTATTTGGAATAATTTAAAGTATATTTTTTAATTTTTTACACAAAGATATGTAAAAAATAGAGAGATGATGTGACTTAAAAAAAATAAAAAAGTGTATTTTTGTAAGAGTACCAAATAGTGCCTTAGTTTTTAACTTTTTTTATAAAATATATATACATATATAAATAGAAAGAATAATATAAAAAGTTGCAGTGATTTTTTAATTTTTTTTTTGACTAAAAACTTAAATCTCCAAACGAGACCAAAGCCAAGTTTGGCATGTCCAAGAAAAGTCAAAAAGTTAAAAAATTACTCAAAAAGTTAAAAAGTTAACACTATTCACCAAAAGTCAACAATTACGACTGCACATCTCCCAATCTTAATTTTCTCCTACAAACTAATTTTTACAATTTTTTATTACACATTTTTTTCATAAAAAGTCAAAAAGTTAACCCAAACATCTATATTTTCTTTCTCAATTTTTTAGTCTAAAAAAACAAAAAATACACTTATTTAGGACACTCCAAACAACCTCCAAATACCCATAAGTTTTTAAATTATTTTTATTTATGATTTTGTTTTTGAATACACAATCACCATCATTTATGACTACAAATCCTAAAACCATGGTTATCCCAATCACTACTATTTCCCTCGTCGTCATTCTTCTCCTTTTTTTTCTTTAATTTTTTTTTTTTTTCGTTTTGAGAATCCTTGATCTAAATGGGAAAAGATTGGGTGAAATATCTTAGTAATGAAAGAAGGCTTAATAGTATTGCAGCAGCAAGAGGATTGGGGTAGTGGTCCAAAGTGGCTATGTCACAATGGTGGGGGTAATATATGGGGTTAGGGTTTGAAGGGGCAATAGAAAATGGAATGGAGTTAGGGAGAGTAAGATAATAAAGCGACAAAGTTAGGAAGATAGTCGATGTTGGGATACAATGAGGGAAGGAGTTTGGAAAAGGGTTGTACAATGGTGATAGAGATGAGATTAGAGAATGCAACACTAACGGTAAATATGGTGATAGTAAGTAATGGCTTTAGGATTAAAGTTAATGAAAGAATGTAGAGGATGATGATATTGTGAGGATTTAGGGCTTTATCAGGAAAAAATTAAAAATAATCAAAATTGCCTCTAGTATGGTATAAATTAAGCACTGGTGTGTGATGAAGGAATGTTGATATGCAAATAGAAACTTTCCAATTTATGGACAAATTACATTTTACCCCATTAATTATAGATTGGATTGTATAACCCTCTCAACTAAAATTTATTTCTAACCTTTTCTCACATAATTTACAAACTTAACATAATTTTTATTTTAATTATTTTTTACCAAATCACACTATCCAAACAGAGTATGTGGACCATTTCATTATATTCCACTCCCTAATAAAGAGGATAATTACTAGTAAGTTTTTTTTATTGGACTTACTTACTCACAAGTACTGAGTAATTTTTTTTATAAAAATGTTAGAAATTTTAAAAATTCTATTAAAAATTTTATCAAATATTTCACATGGATGTAAGACTCACATAGGACCCACATTGTGTGAACTTCATACCCATATGAAACATTTGATAGAATTTTTAGTATTTCTAACATAACTCTTTTTTTTAAACATGTTTTTTCTCTTGTTTTGACAATGAGATAATTTTTAAAAAATTTAAATGTGTTCGTGTTTGTAGAATAATGACATGATACTGATACTAATAAATTAGTCAAATAATAAATAATTAGAACGTTTTCGATTTTGCTTAAGAATTTGATTTCTTTTTAATTAATTTGTATTAAAATATATTGTAAAAAAGATTAATTACTGAGTTATATATTGTATAAATTACACATTGCCCCTTTATGTTTGAACTTTTTTTTTTTCACTCGGGCCCTTGAATTGTTTTTCCATTTTGGCCCTTCACGTTTTAAATTTTTTTCAATTTACTCTTAAAACTAATTTATATTTAAAATTAGACAGAAAATACCGCATTAACTGTCACATAATATAAAAATATATTATTATGTTAAAATTTTAGTTTGTGCTAGAGATGTGAGTTATATAATATAAAAAATTAGGATAAATTACAAATACACCCCTGAGATTTGCTTAAAATACGAATTGCCCACATTGTGTGAACTCCATACCCATATGAAACATTTGATAGAATTTTTAGGATTTCTAATATAACTCTTTTTTTTAAACATGTTTTTTCTCTTGTTTTGACAATGAGATAATTTTTAAAAAATTTAAATGTGTTCGTGTTTGTAGAATAATGACATGATACTGATACTAATAAATTAGTCAAATAATAAATAATTAGAACGTTTTCGATTTTGCTTAAGAATTTGATTTCTTTTTAATTAATTTGTATTAAAATATATTGTAAAAAAGATTAATTATTGAGTTATATTTTGGATAAATTACACATTGCCCCTTTATGTTTGAACTTTTTTTTTTTCACTCGGGCCCTTGAATTGTTTTTCCATTTTGGCCCTTCACGTTTTAAATTTTTTTCAATTTACTCTTAAAACTAATTTATATTTAAAATTAGACAGAAAATACCGCATTAACTGTCACATAATATAAAAATATATTATTATGTTAAAATTTTAGTTTGTGCTAGAGATGTGAGTTATATAATATAAAAAATTAGGATAAATTACAAATACACCCCTGAGATTTGCTTAAAATACGAATTGTCTCATGTGGTTTGGAAAATTACAAATACCTTCCTGTCAAAATTTTTTATTTAACAGAATTAATTGAAAATGTGAAATTTCTAACTGTTCACCTATACAATAATAAAATTATCTGAATTATTAATTGAAATAAACTTTTAATATTATTAAAAAAATATTAATTAACTTGATAATTTATTAATTAAATGACCTATTTGTTATGAAATTGAAAACCTTAAGGGGCATAATGTAATTTTTAGAACCACAAGAGTAATTTATAATTTAAATAAATCTCAAGAGATATATTTATAATTTATTCAAAAAATTATGTCACGTGCCTATCAGTCTGTTATTTTCTATATAATTTTAGTCAAATTAGTTTTCAAACAAAAAAAAAAATCCTTAAAAGATGAAGAATTAAAGTGAAAAATAAAAAAATAAAAATATTTTGAGATCAAAGTTAAAAACTAGTCCAACATAATAATAATAATTATTATTATTATTATAATAATAAAGTGTAATTCATCCTTGTATTTACTTTAAAATATCTCAAGGATATGATAAATTTATAAATCACTCCTAATATGTGGGGATTGAGAGGTGAGTGAGACCGTGGGCTTAAAATAATGAAGTCAGTAATTTTTTTTTTGGGTTTTATGGACAAGGACAATAATGGAGGTAGAATGACGACATCTTAAATTACAATTATGAGGATTGGACTCACCACGCGCTTCCTATTCTACTCGCGATTTTTGTACGCTATGAGAGTTAGGCTTGGTTTAGGGTACACTAAGGCCTAATTTGGGAAGACTAAATAAGTGTACTTTTTAACTTTTTATGAAATATGAGTTGGGTTTGAGTTGGGTTTGAAGTGATGTGTTAGAGAGGTGATGTGACTTAAATAAGATGATGTGACTTAAATAGGATAGTGACTTTTTTGACTTTTTGTCTTTTTTCAATCATGCCAAACTTAATATAAAAAGTCAAAAAGTCACTATCCTATTTAAGTCACATCATCTTATTTAAAACATATTACCTTTCTAACACATCACATCAAACTCAACCCATATAAGCCAATAAGTCAAAAAGTGCACTTTTTTAGAACATGCTAAACCAACCCTAAATAAGCCTTTGTTTGGCATGTTAAAAAGTTTAATATTTTGGTTATTTTAATTACAAAAAGATAAAATAAGTTAAAAAGTTAATGAGATAAAATGTCATATCCAAATCATAATCATTTCATTTTTTTCTCTCACAAAAGTCAAAAAAGTCAAAGAGTCTATCGCAAACGAGACTTTTTAGTCCCAAGCTAAAATAGCCAAAAAGTGAAAAAGCAAAAAACTCAACCCACATCCCAAATGAACCCTAATTGTGTCGCTAGCTGTTGTAGGCAAGGGTGAAAGTGGGCTTCACAAATCACGCGCGCAAATGTCAATGTCAAAGTTTACTACTTCGAGTCTGATCTGACGACATCCATGACCATCATCCAGAGTCCCTCTCCAGCCCTTCCTCCAGTCAACGGAGAGGATTTGGCCACATCACCTGTAACAAAATTTACGACTCGAATTAGCTAACAAAAAAAAATAATAATAATTTGAATTCCATTCACCACAGCAAACAGAGTTTCCCTCTCATATCTTCTCATGTACTTTTTCCCTCCCTCTCGAGTTTTGGTGAACTGACGACTCCATCCCGTGACATCGACAGCAACGAACATCGACAGCTCCTTCTCGGTCTCTTCCTCTCTCCCTCTGTTTGTCTCTTTCTCCCTCAACACATCATCCTTACTCTGAAGATTTTAGTCGTGAATTAGAGCTCTGGTGACAGTGAACCAGAGCCCTTATCTACACTTCATCAAACTTAAGGTAATATGTTTGTTTCAGTGATTTTTTTGTCAAGATTTGCACTGATTTACACTGCTCAGTTAAGTATTTATATCAAGATTTTTCATGTTTGCAAACCATTTTCTAGTTGTTTCCCCCAAATTCTTCGCAATTTCAAAACTTGAACAATGATGTGTGTTTCCTATACAGTGGAAAGTATGATTGATAATCTGCCATTTTCACTGTTTAATAAGCCCACAAAA